CTTTGCCTCTATGCTGACTGTCTCGATTTGCATATGCAAACTGATAAAAACTAGCTAATTCTGAAACGAGCGGGTCAGCCCACGCCCACAGATTGAACGAGTACATATAGCTGGCACTGTTGTGCTTGTTGTTAAGCAAATAATTGTAAAACAACAGCAGCTGGTGGGTGGTAGGCATTTAAGAAGACAATTGTATTCCACATACTGAGTTGCTGAATTTGCACAATTTTTTCCATAAAAACAATATTTTTGTTTTCTTTTTTGTTTTTTTGCATATAATAGCACAATAGTAGCTATACGAGTTCGTATACGTTTTTTTTCTGCCACATTTGCAAAATATTTATGTTTTGGAATTCAAAATTGTAGAATTGATGAGAATTGGCCGCTGTTAAGTGCAAGAGAGAATAGTAGATTGTTTTAAATGTCAATATTCCACTTCTTTTCATTTGTTGCTTTTGTGAAATAATTGAAAAATCAAATAAATTTGCATTTTAGTTTAATACTCATTCATCAAGGCACCGCTTTAATTCCAGGAGCTAGTAACACAAGATTGTTTTTTTTTGGGTTTTGTGGCTGGACCCGTTTTTGAGTAGAAATTGTGATAAATGTTTATGTGGGGATATGTTTTGTGAACACTCGGGTAGTGCTAAACTAAATAGAATATTATATAGTTATACTCTGTACATGAAATGTACAAGAGTATATTAGGTTTGCGCGAGCTGAAAAATGTAACAGGCAGAAGGAGGCGTGGCAGACGCCACAAAGTACTATATATACATATATTCTGCCTGTCTGTCTGTCCGTATGACAAGATGCCTAAGATGCCTTATGTTTGTACGTTGTAAGATTGTTTTATTTTTATACCCTGTACCCGTAGGGTAAAAAGGGTATATTAGGTTTGTGCAAAGTATGTAACATACAGAAGGAAGCATCTCCGACCCCATAAAGTATATATATTCTTGATCAGCATGACGAGAGAAATCGATCTAGACATGTCCGTCCGTCTGTCCGTCCGTCTGTCCGTCCGTCTGGATGAACGCGAGGATCTCAGAAACTATAAAAGCTAGAATAACCAAAGTTGGCATCCAGATTCTCCTAGGTCCGAGTAAGGACGAGTTTATGTTTTTTTTTTTAATTTTCCCCCCCTTCCCCCGCTACAGAATTTCGTCAATAGCGTCCACATTTCAAATGCTACCTAAACCAAATTTTGCACACATAATTAATATATAATTGTCTACTGTTGTATGAAATTTTATTCAATTCGGTCAATTCTAAGAAAAGTTATTAGCAAAACAAATTCTCCCCAGTGCAACCCCCCCAAACTGCAGCAACAAGTTCGCTCTTCTTCTTCCTCTTTTTGCTGCTGCTATGGGCGCATATAACTCAGTGACGGAAGTTTACCTGGGTACAGGGTATTACACTGTCGGGCTTGCTCGACTGTAGCGTTCTCTCTTGTTTTGATTATTATACACCCTTTACGTGATTTCGAATACCGTGAGAGGTAAAATCGATCAAAATTTTTTAAATTTTTTTAAAGTTTTTTAATTTCTGTAATTATTCTAAACATATGTACAGAGTATTTTAAAGTCGGGATACCCGACTTTAGCTTCCCTACTTGTTTTTGTAAATATTAAGAAGGGTTTCTGTTGAGTTCTATGGACTGTTGGATAAGCATTAATGACGAAATGTAAGATTGTTATTCAAGTACGAGGTATTTATGATTGTATTTTACAATTTCATTTCATATTAAGAAGCAGGTTATGGGACCAAAAAAATTGATTATGTGTTGGATTATAAAGTGCCATCTGGATGGCACTGGGACAAAGTGATAGTTTGAAAAACTATTTCAGTCCCATTTGTAATTCGGATAGTACCCTTTTGTCACCTCAGAAATCAGAACATTTTGTTTATTTTCATTATAATTTTTCCAGAAACTTCCCGCTTTATATGTATACTTTTAAAACTTAGAACTAATGACGCTGGTAGCGGGTAAGTTTGAATTATTTTTCACAATTTCACAATTATTTGCATATTACTACCATTCAGTTACATAGCACTTCAGCCTACACGCTCGTATAGACGTCCTCAAGCGTACATTAAAAGTGTAAAATAAATAATGAAATATAAAAATTGACAACGGGAATCTAATTAACATGCACAAGTCGCAAAAAAAGACACAAACACACCCGCTATCGGCAAAACCATTGACAATTTCAGATCACTTTTGTGTGAGTGCTCGCCGTTTATGCAAATTCAATTTGTAAGGCAAGAAATACTCGTAACGGTTAACAAATTAAGTTGCCGACATGTGAGTGTGCCCCAAGCTGGCGTGCAACAAGCAGCATCAACATATGACGTCGATAGCGACAGCGATTGCTCAGTTGTATTTGGGGCGCGTATCGAATGCAAATGATCGCGTTCAATTCACTGGCCGCACTCATTATAAAATATGTTTGTGCTGCGAAGTAAAACAATAAAAATTACAACAACAAAATGTGGCAGTAACAGCGACAACAACAGCAAAGTGTGGCAAATGCAATATCAAGATTTGCAATTGAGACGGCCCGAACGGCGGGAGGTGGCTGTAAAGAAATGCTGCAACATGTGGCGAGCATTTGGAGTTGCGCCCGTGTGGCATGCCAGTTGCTGTTGCTATTGTTGTTGTTTTGACTGTTGCTGTAGTGCTTTTATTTTTAATTTACAAAGTTTTAGTTTCGTTTTCGATACAGTTCAATGATTAAAGAGGCAAACGCCCAAAAATTGGTTTACCATTTTACGGTTTCTGTTGTCTTCCATACCCTTCCAATAAGTCCGTACAATAACGCGACAATGAAACATATAGAAGAAGAAGGTATGTCGGGCTATTTCAGGAGTAGTTGAGACCAGTTTGATTTTAAAATGTAGTTATTGAATTGTGTGCAAACCTATTTCAAGGATATCTGCAAAATAATCAAATTAGTAGTTTCGAATTGTACGAGCAGGTTATATAAAATTTGTGAGTGTCCATAGAATAAAAAAATATATATATGTGGGACAGGGGTTATATTTGGTTATTTCCAAACAAAATAATAACAGTCCCGGATAGTTTATTTTAATAGAATGTAGTTTATTTAAAATAGACATGAAATTATAAAGTAATTTATGAAATAATATAAACTTGGAATCTGCATCGTTCGCGTTTTGTGTTAGCTGAGAGCGTCGTACTCTCATGCACGTCTTCTACACGTCGTTCGTCGTTCGATGCAAGTTTCGCTCTTCTTGTACCTTTCGTCAAAGGCTTGCCAACCCACCCGCCTTTACCATCGTATATTTGTGGGAGGGTTGCCCATACGTCATTAGCCGGGCATTCCCACATACATACACCTAATTTTGTTTTTACACGGTAGATTGGTTCCAGAAACAACCATGAAAAAAGACATATCTCTAAAGAAATATATATGAAATTTTTAATTTTTAAACCGTGTTATATCAAAATCGTGTAAAAAAGACCTTGTAAAAATAGAATTAGGTGTATTGGGTTAGAGAAAAATGAATCCTCTTATTGGATTTATTAGCAAGATGTATGTATGATCGGTGTAGACCGTCATATCAGCAGTCGATAAGTCGCTTATAAGCTTAAAATTGACAACAAAACAGTTGGAATAGGTTTCACCTAGGGTTTTCACATATCCATTTTTAATTATCTAGGGAGTACGAGGAGGAAGAGTAACCAGTATATGACTGCAGATAATTCTAAAATGAGCCCTAATCTCAATAGATCCAGCAATGTTATATGTACATCAATAACTTTATGATAGAAGAGAGAATATTCGTAGACCGAAAGAAAAGTCATGCAGGGTATGCGAAATTCGGATTTGAAGGGTAGAGTTGTGCAATTTGTTGTTGTGCAGTTGTTATTTTTGGGCTGGGGCTCCGCAGTGTTGCAACTGCTCCCTAAGCGCCGCATAAAATTCGCAAAAATTCTTTAATTTGTGGCCATGCATGGCACACATTCTCCAATGCTCACAATTTGGCAGGCAGTGGGCGTGGTTTGTGGGCCTTTTTTATTCAATTTGTTTCTTTTTTTTTTGAAAGGAAGGCCGTTAAATGGGGCGCTGGCTGATAAGATCGCCCAGCATAAATCCATGTCGAGTAATGAGTGCTAATTGTGCGACGCACGGAAGTTCGCTCAAAATCCCACACAGCACACACACTACGTTTTGGATAAACATTCACAAGAGACAATAAAATCAACAAGAGGAGGCAATTAAAATTGTTTTTCGCTGCTGAGCAAAATAATGAGGGACACAGTCATAGTCGTAGAAACCGAAAGCAAGGTCATGGGTGCGTTTGTCACACCGCCACTGCACGCAACAAGCATGTGGAAGTGTTGTCAGCAACATGTTTCTGCAACATTCTGCCGCCCCGCTGCGCTAATTGCAATTGCACGGCAATGGTCGCTTGGCGGCAGCCCACAGAGACCGAATGCCACACCTTCGCTTGGCAACATTGTTGCCGATTGCCTTCTTGCTGTCTGTCGCTCTGCGGTTCATTGATACACATTCTTCGGCTCTGGCAGTAGATTTGACTTCGGGTCTGACTCTGGCTTTGGACAAAACTTGCTTCGAGCCACGATTATCGTTGTAATTCGATTACTCTTGTGCCACATTGTTCTGCTCGTACTCTCATTGTAGTTGTTATTACTTCTACGACTGTTGTTGTTGTTGTTGCTACACGATCGCTGGCGTTGTCTCTGGGGTTGGCGGCTTGGCTTGGCGGTATATATTAGAGCCACAAACGAGCAGTCAGCACAGTTCGTTAACAGTCCTAGTCGCGATTCTAGGAGGTTCAACCAGCGTTCAGTGTGTGTGTCGTGAGTGTAGTTAGTTTTCTGTTATTTCCTCATCCTTGAGCGCAGGCACACAAAACAGGATTCGCAAAGGCTTTCTTTTGTGCCTAATTTTGTGATCGTTCCCCCTATTTCCTCTAACTCCAGTTGTGATTACATTTAATTTTTAAAAATGAAACCGTTTGTAAGTAATTAAAAAGGATAATAAAACCAATGGTTTTTCATATTTTTTACAAAACTTAAAATAAACCTGTCTGTGAAATGTGCCAAATCAAAACTCTGTGTGTTTATGAACGGTTTTTTAAGTCTTCATCGCCAAATAAGAAATATTAAGACGTAAAATCTTTTGCTGAATGAATTGTGGAAAGCGTGTAGCATTAATTTAGAATTTAAATAAAAGATAATTAGTTCGGTAAACTACTTATACATTAAGTATTTTATAAACAATAATCAGTTGAATATCGTATCATAAGTTTGAAGTTTGATCGGGTTAATACTGCAAAGAAAAATTTAATGTCCAGCTACAATTAGTTTTGCTCAACACATCATTAAAAGTATAACGCCTTCATTACAGTTTCTGCTTGTCTAAGGTTTTATATATGGGTACCTGATAATCGGCAGGATGCTTATTAATATCGCAAAGTGGGTGTAGAGAAGATAAGATTGTTTATACAGATTACAAGCTTTGGTACATATACCAGACAACTTTAACAACTGCGTGGTAGCTTCTAAACGTAAAATCACAAAAATAAGAATATCCGAAGAACAGTGCGTTGAATATTCGACTTCTATTATAACCATTTTTATATATAGGTATGTCAAATACTCGATTTATGCACGAAATATTTAATTACTGGCTTGTCCAAATTCCATTACATTTGCAAAATAAATAAACCACCCAGAAATTCTCTAACTGACAGTTTAAAATGGTTGCAAGTGTCAGTTGAAAAGCCGTTGACATGTGCATGTGCAGTCTGACAGTTGAGTTCAACATACAGCTTAAATTCATACATAAATATACATATAGTCGAATGAATGCTATAACGAAAGGCAGACCACATGCGGTAATATCATGGTATCTTAAATCAAAGCAAATCAAATCAAATGTTGCGGTTGAAAGCACTTGAATGCAATCCGAGGTAGGTCCAGTAGCTGCAGATAGGCGTGTTAATGGGTAAGCCCCAGGAGCCAACTGGCAGGTGAATGATATTTAGTGGCGAAGAGTGGGCAATAGAAAGTGAACAAATCATTTGCGCATACGCAAGCCGCAAAACTGGGTTAGCATTGGGGGGAAAGCTGCGAAGATTGACTGACAGATGGATATGTACATAAAGAAACAATGGCAGGGGCAATTATCGCACATTCAGTGGATTGCATGGCTAATGTGTGTTACGTCTTGAATTGGATATGATATAACAATGGAACACTTAGAAATAAAAAATGCTTTTTAGGTCATATTTTAGTAATTTAAGATGCAAAATTAATTAAATTTCAAGTTGAAATCATTTATCCTTATATTTTCTAAGTGCTTTATGTTAAATATCTTTTACTCTCTTCTATTGCCACTTGATTGCAGTTGCTTGCCGCCGCTTTGCTCGTTTCGACGGTGTCCGCCACCTGGCACGGTGCTGTCTCCACACAGTACCAGCAGCTGGATCCTCATAGTCACACCTATTCGTACGGCTATGCGGATCCCAATTCACAGAAGCACGAGTCTCGTGGTCATGATGGCACCACTCGCGGCTCCTACTCTTACGTGGATGGTCACGGCCATGTCCAGTCTGTGTCGTATACCGCTGATCCGCATCATGGCTTTAATGCTGTAGGCACAAATCTGCCCCAAGCTCCATCGGTGCACCACGCCGGGCCCGTTTATGCCGCCGCTCACTCCGCCTATGTGCCATACTCTCATCATCCGCACGGCATTCATATTCCTGTGCTGACACATGGAGGCGTCCCCGTCGATACCCCCGAGGTACAGCATGCCAAGGCAGCCCATGCCGCTGCCCACGCAGCTGCCTCACATGGTGCTCATCATCTCTACAAACGTTCGATCTATGGCGGTCCTTGGGCCTATGGTGGTGCCGCGCATGTACCGCTGACACATGGTGGAGTCCCCGTAGATACCCCTGACGTGCAGGCGGCCAAAGCTGAACATTACGCTGCCCACGCCAAGGCTTTGGGACAGGTTGCGCATGCACATGGCGCTCCTATCGAAACCCCCGAGGTTCAACATGCTAAGGCTGCCCATTTCGCCGCTCACGCTGCCGCTCGCTCCGGACATGCTCTTGCTCCTATTGCTCACGGTCATGCTGCTCATGGTTACCATGTGCCTGTCATCCACAATGGCGTGCCCGTCGAGACGCCCGAGGTTCAACACGCCAAGGCCGCCCACTACGCTGCTCTCTCGCAGGCTTCAGCGCACGGCAGCTCGCACAGCTCTTGGGACAATGGACATTACGATGGACGTTGGGATGCTGGTCATGACAATCATGCTAGCAGCTATGCCAGCGGCTATGCGCACAAGGGTCCCATCCACATTCCCGTCATCCATAATGGTGTGCCTGTAGAGCCTGCCGAGGTGCAACACGCCCGTGCCGCGCATCTGAATGCTTTGGCAGCCGCCAGCCACAACAGTGGACCAGCTCATGGTGCTTACTATGGAGGTGGTCAAGAGGATGATGGCCAGTACCATGCGCACTACGATCGCTATTAAAAAAGGGCCTCATTGATGATGACAGATGTTTGTTCTTTGAATCATGCGCATGTCTGCCAGAGTTTTAGTCTAAATGATGACGAGCGTCTTTAAACACTGATATCTTCTATTACGACCTATTCCGAAGCAAGCCAGAATAACTATCTCTCTTCTTTTCGCTCTATTATACATATATATATATATATATATATATTGCCCATTATTGTCTCACACACACACGAACATGAAACGACTACTCAAGATGGGAAATTAAAGCCCTTCACACAGCTTTCTTGCCCATCTTTGTATTAACATACAACTCTTCACATACTCGTAACTAACAACAATTTATGTGCAATTCTATGTCTGTCACATTCTTTCTCTTTGTTAGATACAAAGATCTTTTCCTCTCTCTTTCTCTTCTTTCTCTTTCTCATTATTAGCTGTCTTCTGCCTTGTTTCTTCTTTTCTTTGTGTTTCTATATTGATCTTGTCAACTCTACGAATCACTCCCACTGTAAACTGCCAATGCCAACTTGAAACGAACTATCTGTCTAAGAACTATTCTATGTACTGCCTCTAATTTTGATTTCTACTAACCTTAACTGAAACACCGGGTATGATTATGTTGTAAATAACTGTTGTAATTTTTTATATCCATCGTTTATATGTCCTTCTAAATGGGAATGTACATGTAACTACATATTTTATAGCAACTGCAAACAGACAAATAAACTGCAAAAAGTATTTGATCACAAAATCAGTGTATATAGTTTTGATGCCATTCCAATTATTCCAAATAGTCTTAGAATTCAATGGTCATTCAGGCGCCATTTAATTAATTAATTTATTTATTTATTTATTTCCATCGACAAACAATGCAGTCGATGTGCATAAAAAAAATCAATACAATACAATAGAGAACTTAAACTAAGTAAAACTAAAGAAATAAAAAAGTCTATAAAAATTACAAAAATATCTAATAACAAATTTAACTAAGAAGCATTGTAAGAAACAAAAGTTTTATGGAATGAAATGTATTCGGTGGCTTATGAAAAAGTGTAAGTTCTTAAAAAAACAGGTAAATTGAATCATTCATTTCATTTGATATCCACAGCCACATTTAGTTTTGAAAATCTTTAAGTGAACATACATATCTCAGTAGGGGTAGCTGGCTTGAATAGTTTAATTTCAATCGTATTAAAAAGGTGACTGAGAAGTTTTTTCCATAAAAAAAAATACCCCAAAAATTACGGTGTTGATAAGTTAATATTCATTTAAATATAAATTTTTAAAAATTGATTGGCGACGCAGGAGGCGCGCAAAATTAGTAGTTCGTCTTTAGTAAAACTTTATCCTTTTTAAAATGCTCTGTTAAATACAGTCCTTTCTGATTGCTTTTCTTATTAAGTTTTTTATTATTTATTGTTTGTGTTGACAAATACGACATTCGATGAATGAAACAAATGAAGTAGTTTGTCCAACGAACTATGCTTCGGTTTACAGAGGTTCGAAGAGGAAGGAACAGATCCAAATGGTCTCAAAGCTAGTGAAAATAATTTAAACGTAAGACCCGAAAGGTCTTGTGCATTTTGTAATCTAGGTAAATGGGCAATAACTTTGTTGACAATTCCAGAACCTGCCCAACAGCGAACGAATTTAAAGGTAAATACGAAAGCATTTGAACGTGAGTATGAGCTTTCGTTTTAGATTTGAGCTGCATATTGTGTGAACGAACGGTTTTCTTTTCATAAAACGATTCCTTTTTGCAGAATGTCAACAGTGTGTCCTTTAGCGTTCGTATTAAGCATTGAAAGAGGAATAGCAGGGAATGGGAGAGTCAATGCATTTGGAAGGAACATAAATATTTGCAGTGCAACGTTTGAGCTTGGCATTCTCAGACGCGTGTGTAGGTATTTCTCCCAACATGCGTGGGTGCTTTTACAAGAAAATGCAAAAACATACGCCCACACACACATAGAAGCGAATGGCGCACATACAATCAATCAATGGCAGGCTACAAGCTCTCATTTTTTTGTGTTGTGCCATTTGCTTGATGTTGAATGGAGCCAAAAGAATTGTAGGGAATTTCTCTTGCAACCAATGGCATTGGCATGTGCCTTTCCAAAGAATGTGGACACACATGCCTTGGTCTCTCTGTGTGTATGTGTTGAACTATTTGTGGTGGAACAAACATGCGATGACGCTGGAAAAGCACACAAATATCTGTGAGTTTGACGCGATCTGTGTGTATTGTCAAACTTTTCAATTTGCAAGCATAAAGCTGAAAGAAATGTGTAAAATGCAATTGCAATTTGATCTGAGGATACTAGTAGCCGACATTTAAGGCCTTTTGTGTTTTTGGCAGCCTTCGAGACCAGAATTAATGTTGCCCGCATGGTTACAGGCCATAAATTTAAATACAAACTGCGGCCTAATCGATAACCTTTGCAGCTGAAATTTAGACTTTTAATAGGGTAGCCGGCCAAACGCCAATTACACGGCAGGCAAACTAATTAAAAATTAACAATCTACCGAGCGCACGCAAAGGTCATGTCAGCAACAGTGGATCGCATCGAGGGCGAAGAGGGGGCGGCGTTTTTTATACGCCTTGAGGCAGGCCAAAGCTTGCTGCCTTGACGTAGTCCCGACCTCGGCGTGGGTGGATGTGGGCGAGTGTCAGGTACGGTCGTCCATAAACTTGACAATGCTACGATTTAGTTAGGGGCGTTTAATTAAGTATGCATTGGCAGTTGTATTTGTATTTAGATTTATATTTATGGTTAATGGGTGCAATCGGCTAACAAAGTACAAGTACTTGAACGACCTTCACTGGGGCAGGGCCTAAATAGCGGCATTTTATTTTTAGGACCGGCAGTCTATTTAATTACAGACTCAACAAGAGCAGAGCGAATTGTTAATTGATATTGTCGAAATTGCTGAGCGATTTAATGTGCCGCTCAGAATGTGCCACTGTTTAAATACCGGTCGGTAATAGCAGCAGCCAGCTAAGCTTGCTCGCTTCATGCCTCAAAATGGGGGCGTGGTCGTGGGCGCACTGGCCAAAAGTGAATGTGCAACATAGCACTGCCCTCTGGCTGTTATAATTTTGTAAATCTTACTAACTTTATTATTGCAATTTTATTTTTATACTCTGTACATGAAATGTACAGAAGTATATTAGGTTTGCGGGAGCTGAAAAATGTAACAGGCAGAAGGAGGCGTGGCAGACCCCACAAAGTATATATATTCTTGATCAGCATGACGAGACGAGTCGATCTAGCCCTGTCTGTCTGTCTGTCCGTCTGTCCGTCTGTCAGTCTGTCCGTCTGTCCGTCTGTCCGTCCGTATGAACACCTGGATCTCAGAGACTATAAGAGATAGAGACACCAAATTTTGCACAAAGATGCGTTATGTGTGTATTCTATACGAGTTTGTTTTATTTTTTTGATTTTCACCCCCACTTCCCCCCTATGGGGGTTTTCCCGATTTTCCATTCGTATAATCGCCTATATCTCGGAGACTATAAGACCTAGGAACACAAAATTTTAGTCCCAGATGCCTTATGTGAATACGCAGAAAATGTATATTTTGGAATTCCCCTCCCTCCCCCCTCTACCCCGCAAATCGTAACTCCCGTAATTCTTGGAATTTCGTACTAAAATTTTGGAAATACCCCCAGTTGGTTATTATGTGTCCGTATGCCAAATTTCATTATGATAGACCGATTTAACAAGAAGTTATAGCCATAAATATATTTGCTGATGCAGCGCTGCTCAAGCGCTGCCCGCGGCTGTTGTTGATGTTGCTGTTTGGTTGACTGCGAAAATACTTACACAGACACGAATAGATGCGCATAGGCATACATACACTCACACAGACGTAATTGCTATGTAAATGTGCAATTATAAACCCTTTACGTGAGTTCGAATACCGAGAGAGGTAAAATCGATCAAATTTTTTTTATTTTCTTAATTTTTTTATTTTGTATAATTATTGTAAACATATGTACAGAGTATTTCAAAGTCGGGACACCCGACTTTAGCTTTTTTACTTGTTTCTTTTTGCTGATGTTTTTATCCATTTTTTATGACTTTTCATAGTTTTACAGACTCACTACTCACTTCGATTTTGTTTTTGTGGCCAGTTCATATTTCATTCGAATTGGAAATTTTCGTTTGCGGCTCATTTGCATGCACACGAATTTGGCAACTTTGTATTGTTGTTGTTGTTGCTACTCTGTCGTCGTGATAGTCGTTATTGTTGCCCGTTGCCTTTGCGGTTTTGAAAACTGTGGCAACCGCGCGTGCCGTGGCCCAGTAATTGCTCTGCGGACTTGGGTCTTGGCTTCTTCTGCACGTTCCCTGCAACTGCCACTGCAACAACAACAACAGGAACAGCTAAACTATCAACAGCAACAACAAGAGCGACGATCGTTAGGCAAACAATTGCCTGCTACAATAAAATAACACAATTATTTAACTATTTGTTGTTGTTTTCGATTGACGTTCTCAGCTTGTGCTTAGGTTTTTCCTGCTCTGAAAACTTTGTGTTTGTGGGCGTTCCTATTTTACATTTTTATACCCTGTACCCGTAGGGTAAAAAGGGTATATTAGGTTTGTGCAAAGTATGTAACATACAGAAGGAAGCATCTCCGACCCCATAAAGTATATATATTCTTGATCAGCATGACGAGAGAAATCGATCTAGACATGTCCGTCCGTCTGTCCGTCCGTCTGTCCGTCTGTCCGTCCGTCTGGATGAACGCGAGGATCTCAGAAACTATAAAAGCTAGAATAACCAAAGTTGGCATCCAGATTCTCCTAGGTCCGAGTAAGGACGAGTTTATGTTTTTTTTTTTAATTTTCCCCCCCTTCCCCCGCTACAGATTTTCGTCAATAGCGTCCACATTTCAAATGCTACCTAAACCAAATTTTGCACACATAATTAATATATAATTGTCTACTGTTGTATGAAATTTTATTCAATTCGGTCAATTCTAAGAAAAGTTATTAGCAAAA